ATAGCTGGAGATAATAGATAAATGGATAGATAGAACAAATATGACCAGAGATAAACTACTGGAACATCTAGGTAAAGAAAAGATGGGTATTAATTATACTAGTCTCTAAACTTTTCTTTAGGTTTAAAAAAATGACCAAGAAATGAAGACATGCAAACAACTATGGCATGTTTCATATGAGAAGTATTTGACATAAAAGAGAGATTGGGAGACTGGGTTGGGGGCTCATGCCTGTAATCTCAGCACTTTGGGAGGCTGAGTGGGAGGATAGCTTGAGCCCAGGAGTTCAAGACCATTCTGGGTAATATAGTGATATCTAATCTCTACTTAAGTATATATGTGTAAAATAAATTGGAAAAAAAGAGAAATAGGGAGAAAAGCTACTGAGAGCTAGAGAGTAGGTTTCTTATGTCTGAAAGGCCTGAAGTGCAGACAAAAAGACTTCTTGATGTGAGAGGAGTACGTTCATTCATGTAATAAAATATAATAGTGTTAACACTTGGCATCCACAGTGAGAAACACCACAGAAACATTGAAGAGAAAGGAAGATAGGATCGCCTTGGGTGTTAACCTTTTGGCTTAGTCATACATGGACCAAAGCAGAGTTTGACATAAGTCACTTTAAAAAAACGAGAAATGGCTTTCAGGCCTGCGAGATATAATGGAAACCTGGCATTACCAAAGAAAAGGACTCGAATGCTGGCTGTAACTTCCAGGGGGATATTTGCCCAAAAGCTTCAAATACACTCATTCCTCTGTCAATGAAACTTCATGGGAGTTGAATGTGTCAGTTATCACCCTTCCAGTTCCTTCAATTCCTGTTGTCAATTCCCTTTGTCTAGATTTCACGTTTCCTACGAACCTTCTGCTATGTGGGGACCCTGTGTGTCTTCCTACAGGGAAAGAATGCTCTGGTCACCTGCATCCCAGTCCTTTCCATCATTCCAGTCCCTGTGACGGGTAGCTTTTCAACTTAAATCCATACACTGGCATTCTTACTTTATGAATCCTTCTTTTGAGTTAGGTTAATGTGGGTTTTGTTGGTGGGCTGGCTGAAATGGGTTTCTAAGCCTGCAATCACGAGGGCCAGATCTGAATTGTAATCAACTCGCCAAGCTCGCTTTGTTTGTTCATTTATTTGTGCGGCAAACGCTACTGTTGCCCTGGATCTTACGACTGTATTGTACGCCGGTCCTAGTTCCAATTGCCAGCACATGCATTTCGTGCTTAGGGCACTCTCTGACCAGCTGCAGCTGCTGTGTCCCAACCACAGCAAGTCAACCCGATGAGGATGACCACAGTGTGCACTCACAGGATAGCTGTGACGTGTGTGTTCTACACTGGCTCCCAGTGTTCTTCAACAGAAGTCAACTCTAGTTGTCCGAAGTAGACACTTGATTGATAAGACAGCCTTTTGGTTCCCTCCCTTCCCTAGCTCACTTACTTCCCTACCAGTGTTTCTCGGGATCATTTCCCAGATAAATTACTTGCATTCAAAGCATTGTCTCAAGACCTGTTTCTGGGGGAAAAGCAAACTAAGATGATTTCGTCCATTCGTTCATCATTTATTGAGCTTAATTATTAAGTCCTTAAGGTGCAAAATAAGTCCTTAGCAACACGTTGTCTCTTTTCTCATCACAGTATCATTCCCTTTACAAATGAAGAAAACAAGGTTGAAAGAAATTAAGTAGCTGGCTCAATATCACATAATTAGGACAGGGTGCTGGAAAGGAGTGATGGCAGATGAAGATGGCTGGGACTCCCAGATGCCCAATCTTGAACAGAACAGTATAAAAAAGAAGTTTTCTGCTGGGGTAGTAATTTGAGAATATTATAAGATTTCCAGGGAGCAATGAAAAAAGGAATTATTGAATGACTAAGGAAATATTTCAATAAAATATATTTTTGAAATTTATTTTTATTTTCCAAGAAAGCAACATGCTACAGTAAGAGCATACACACACACCCATGGGTTTAAATCCTACCACTACTAGTTTTTAGCTGTGAGACCATGGGCAAGTGGCTCACTTACTCTAAGCTCAATTTTGTAATCCACAATGTGTATAATATCCAAGATTGTTGTAAGAATTAATGAGATTTATTTAAACAACTGCCACCTAACGAGTGTACAAATTTAACTTACAGACATATACTGTCCTTTCAGGAGCTTTGCGGGAAGTCCTGAAATACGGATGTAATCAGTACTACGCTTAGCAGTAAATTACAAAAAGAAGCAATAGAAATATTTATGTGATAAATGATATCTATATTGCTATCTTAAACATCCTGGCATTTCCGCACGTAGTATGCTAACTTAATGTTACCAAATAAAAGTAAAATGAACCATTTTAAAAAGTCAAGCTTTACGTGTAAAATTTTGTTTGAAGCAATGCCAGAGTCCACATAGTAACATTTATCCTTTTGATAACAGAATTTTGTGCTCCTATGTGAGCCTCAAGCAGTGCTAAAACAAAATAGTGTATCAATTACAAACGATATTCACGATTCTTCCCCAGCCAGATGTTTTTATCAGTTGAGAGATGCTGAAGAAAAGCAGTAAGTGTAGAATGTCTGCACCATCTTTAATACTAAGATTCAATTTAATCAGTGCATTTCCTTAGACTTAAAAATCGTTTTGTGAGCGTCCCTGTCAGAATCAGCATGTTATGTGTTTAAAGTGGTATCGGAGATATAGATGGTAGTGTGAATGATTTCCAAGAACTCAAATGATGTGCATGTCGGAAGGACAGGTTTCTAAGGGCTGCTTCATTGATTTGAGTGGAACTGTTTTATTCAGAACAGCTCAGCGCAGCAGCAGCAGCAGCTGGTGTTCAGTGAAAGGCTTCCCTTGTCCACCTATTCTCCAGCTGGGTTAAGGCAGGCACAAAGAGATTGCAGTGACCAAGGTCAAAGCATGATTTGATAGATTTCCAGGCTTTTGCTCCAGAAACTTCTTGTGCAGTCTTGCCTATAGAGGCAGTTAGTGAAATTGGTGGTTGAATAAGTCAGAGCTTTAGAGGGACTTCGTAGGTCTTCTTGTTCAATACCTTAATTTCCTACTTCATATACCAAGGTTCTAATTAAAAGACTTGTTTAAGATTTCTTACATTAAATCCATTTGCCTGTTTTTTTGTTCCCACTGAATTGTATAAGCAGGCACCGCTGCACTTTGTATCTCTATTGACATAGCTGAAAAATGAAACATGCAAAGATATACTACTTTATTACATGTTATCTCAGTAAAGGGGTCCTCTGTTAGACACACTGGTCTTCGTGTGATTCACTCATTCAAACTTTCCTGAGGAGTAACTGGTTTCAGCCATTGAGATAGATACTGGGAACACAAGAAGTCAAGGGCGCTCTCCTCTCCCAAGGAGCTTAAGGGGACACAGAAGTGTAAGTTCATACATCGAGTGTGTAGAAGGGACACAGAGGCATGAGCAGTGACCCTGCTTGAGTAGAGCAGAGAGGCTTCTCGGAGGAGGAGCTTGAAATTGTCTAAAAGGTAGAGTAAACTGCGTGCAAAAGAGCTCCAAATGACTCTCAAGTGTAAGTACTGCCTGAGCAATACATTCACGTGGGGACGGGAGATGGCGCTGGGAGGGAGGCAGGTGCCACATCCAGTGGGCCCTGTTTTTGGAGTTGAGACATTATTCAGAAGGCCATGGTGAGCCTCTGACCGTTAAGAAAGGCAGGAAGGTAATGATGCATGTTTCTGAAGAGAACATTCTGTGATGACGACATTTGGCGGGAAAGCAGTACAGTATGAACCAGCACTCTCTGAGGGTAGCGGTCGAAACAGTGAATGAGGTGGTGTGACCTTACCCTTCTGGAACCTACAGTCTACGGGTCTAAACACTAATGGTCTAAATTAAGGTGGAAGCAGTGGAAATATACAGGAGGAAATGGGTGTTCTGATAATGATGATGATGGCAGTGCTTATTACCATTCATTGAACACTTCCCGTGTGTCAGGTACTGAACACTTCCCATGTACCATCTCTGTCCATTCTCCACACAGTAGCTAAAGCTATTCTACAGAGCTTGTCAAAACTCTCTGAAACCCTTCCAGAGGCTTCCTCCCTCATTCAGCACAAATATCTAAGTTCTCAGGAAAAGCTACAAAGTCCTCCAGGCTGTGACCCACTGTGACTCCTCTGAGCTCATCTTCAACTCCTCTCTCTAGCCACAGCGCCTTGCTAGCTGTTCCTAGATGACTCTCGGCAGGTTGACTAGACGACTCTAGAAGGCTCTTCCCTTTACATTCCCACAGTTCATTCCTCACTTCTGTCAGGCCTCTGATTAAAAGGATTCTTTTCTGTAAGACCTTCTCTGGACGCTCTGCATGACGGAGCTCCTATTCCCTTTGCCTGGCTGTATATCTCTCCTTAATATATCATGTTCTGATATAACACGTATGTGTTGGTTTTCCTCCTCCATGGATCACAAACTCCATGAGGGTAGACTATTTTTGTTCACTGCCGTATTCTCAACACCAAGAACAACGCTGGCACATAGCACCTATTCAATAAACACGCACTGAATGGATGAAGGATTACAACGATCCTTTGAGGACGGCACTGTTATTTTTCCCCACTTCCCTAAAGAGGAAACAGATATTAATTGAAATATTCAAGGTCGCATATCTGGTAAAAGTGGCAGAACTGGGATTTGCATGGAGGGCGGGGGGGCGGGGGAAGCCTGCCTTTGTTGAGCTTGTGCTCTGTGCCCAGGATTATTCTAAGACCTTTATGTATATTTACACCTAATTCTCACAACAACTCCACTTTATAGAGGAGAAAACTAAATCAGAAAGGAGTTTACAATCTTGCCTGACATCTCTGCACTTGCCATAAGTTGGGAGCCTGCGGTCTCAGGCACTTTGCTACACCAATTCTAAAGCCAGTGTTTTAGAGAGACACGACTTTGCCTCTGAATTGCCAGGTGAGGGAAAGGAAGAAATCTAGGATGACCAACATTATTCATAGATGGTAGACTCACCAATCAAGTCAAAGAATGAAGGACGAGTTGGTATCATTCTCCTCTAACTGCAGACTTCCACATCCAACTGCCTCCTTGTATCTTTGCTTGGATATTGAGACACAGGGTCTGCTGCAGTAAAAGGGATTTAGAATAACCATGGCAGATCAGAGAAGTCAGTAGCTGTCTTACGTCAGCGTTGACCTGGGACACAGGGCCTTCCCAGTGAAGTCCTCAGGGTCCCACCTTCTTGCTCGGCAATCCCTAGAATGTTTCCCCCTGTCTTGGTCTGTTTATGCTGTTATAACAACATACCCGACACTGGGAAATTTATAAAGAACAGATATATCCTTTTTCACAGTTCTAAAGACTGGGAAGTACAAGATCAAGACCCCCGGCAGTTCCATCGTCTGGTGAGGGCTGCCTTCTGTTTCCAAGGTGGCACCTTATTGCTATATCCTCTGGAGGGGGTGAATGCTGTGTCCTCATGTGGCTAAAGGGATGGAAGAACAAAAGAAGGCCTAAGCTAGTTCCCTCCAGTCCTTTTACAAGGGTACCAATCCATCCATGAGGCAGGGCCCTGATGATTCAATCAGCTGTTAATGTCACCAAAATGGGGATTAAGTTTAAACATGAATTTCGAAGGGTATGCCATCATTCAAACCACAGCAGCTTCCAACATAGTTCACTACCTCAATTATTTGATACACTCATCAGAAAAAGACAAAAAAAAAAAAAAAAAGAAAAGAAAAGGGCAAGTGACACCCAATTTCTTTCAGAAAATGATCTGGAAGTTGCATACATCATTTCTGCTCACATTCTCCTGGCCAGAACTGAGAGATACGGCCACACTTAGGGTTTATGATAGGCAAGCCTGTGTCGGGCTAGACGTTCTGTTGTTATGGATGAAGAGGAGAATGCAAACAGCTATCTCGAATTCAACATCACCAAAGCTAGCCTGCTTGTTCTCCCCAAACCTGCTCCTTTGCATTGTTATCACATCTCAGTCACAGTGGAAAATAGCACCAACTCAGGGGCTTGATGTTAAACATGCTGAGCCTGAGGTGCCCGCAGAACACCCAGGACAAGTTTCCAATACAGGGTTGGAGCTTTTGACTGCGGTCTGTGTACAAGATTCAGACGTGATCCCTGACTGAAATAAGTGATGGAAGAGTATATGTAAATAGCTCTATCAAAGGTTATAACATGGCAGGCAGAGAGAACCAAGGATGGAGAGGGAGGATTCTGCACAGGAGACCTGAAAAAGAGTGGCCTAAGACAAGGCAGAAGAGCAGAGACTGTAAGGTGACAGAACCAAGGGAGCAGTTTCCAGGAGGCCGTGGTTGGCAGCGTGGAAGGCTGCAGGGAGGTCAGAGGCTATGAAAACTGAGAAGCAACCTTTCAATTCGGCCGTGATGCCACAGTGAAATTGATCAAAGCAATGTGTATCTAAAATGGAGGGAGCTGCTACATTGCTCTAGTGGAAGAGGGATTTGGAAGATAATAGCAACCCAAGTGTAGACAGCTTTTCTAAATAGAAGGGACAACGTAGAGGGAGAATGGATGAACAGGAGAGGTAATGCTAAAGGCAGTAAGAGTGTTGAGTCAACCTCCCTTCCCTCAAGAAATAAAAATTACCTGTAGAAAGGACAGAAGGATGGCTTCTATCTTAAGGCTGGAGGTCACAAAGAATATAAATAGGCATAGGGTGGGGCACGTAGCAGTTCATGCCTGATGTGAGCAACACTAAGCAATGATACGTATAATGCTAATATTACTACTAGGAAGCTCTAACATTTACTGAGTACTTATCATATGCCAGGCAGTGTTCTTCATGGAACTGAGCTTGCTCGACAGTATTTCTTAAATAATGGGAGCTGTTCATATACTGAAAGCTTAGTGTCTTTCCAAAGTTGAGCCTGTAACATTTTCATGCAGCCTGAAAATAGCAACAGTGACTTCTATCGCACTCTATCTGAATTTTGTCTCTTTCATGCTCTTGACTTATTTCTGATCCTAGGGCATGCTGGGTAGTGAAAGAGTTCTCTTTGCATTTTGATTCATCTGTCATGACGGGCACAATAAAAAATCTTCAGTAACAAAACAGCTCTGTCAAAAAACAACTTCACCAGCAATTCAAAGTAAAACGTTTCCTTTAAAATAAAAGTTCGTTAGTATTAGCAGATATGTATTAGTAGGCACCCCCATGATCAGTGAAGTGTTGGGTTACTCTGAAAAAGTGTCCAGTCTTATAGGTGTGACTTCCTTTTGAACTGCAAATTCTTGAGGGCAAGAATAGAGATGGTTCATCTTCTATTGTTTCCCAAGGCCTGGCACATAAATAGTAGTTTGAGTAGTCCAATGTATGACACAGAAATAGTTCTGGATCAACATTTGCTCAAAGTTTGCTCAAGGCATGGATACAGACGTTTATAGAATCAAACTGTGTACTAGAAAAGTCTGAAGAAATCACTGTTCACTTCGTAGATACAAAGTTGCTTTTCTGGGAAAAACACAACTGAAAATAAAAAACATGGGTCTGATATGGCAGAAATTTTTTTTTTCATATAAACTGATGTGTAGGGAAGTAGAACACTACTAGTATCTTAAGGAGTCCTGAAAATATTTATGATGGTAAATTTGATCAGCAAATATTTCTAAATTTGAAAATGGATAAAGCAAAAAGCACAGTGAGGTCTTGAAAGAAGTCTAACACTAATGTCACACATAAGAATACATATTTAAAATAAATGAACTAAAAGGGATAGAGGTCATTTTTCCAGATTCCTAGGAGGAATTAAGATCCTCCTTGATCTCAGTAAAGCAATGGATAGTCATTCTGACTCCTAGCTAAAAGCAGACTTATTTCCCTTCGGTCTTTAATCTTTTTGGAACTCAGGAATTTCTGCCACTTTTGATACACCAGGCTAATACAAAATTACATTTCATTTATTTACAATTTCCACTTAAAAGGAAGTAGAATGGCCAGGCGCAGTGGCTCAAGCCTGTAATCCCAGCACTTTGGGAGGCCGAGACGGGTGGATCACGAGGTCGAGAGATCGAGACCATCCTGGTCAACATGGTGAAACCCCGTCTCTACTAAAAATATAAAAAATTAGCTGGGCATGGTGGCGCGCGCCTGTAATCCCAGCTACTCGGGAGGCTGAGGCAGGAGAATTGCCTGAACCCAGGAGGCGGAGGTTGCGGTAAGCCGAGATCGCGCCATTGCACTCCAGCCTGGGTAACAAGAGGGAAACTCCGTCTCGAAAAAATAAAATAAAATAAAATAAAATAAAAGGAAGCAGAACGTCTAAAAGTATCTCCACATGCTAGATATAGTAGGAATGGTATGCGTTAACTACACTAACAATAAAGTCCTTAAAGACTGACATTCTTTGTTGCCTATTTTGAAAACTTGCAAGGTAAATTTCTGAAAGATTATGATTCTTACTAGTCGTTTCCATTATATATAGCAGCAAATAGTTTCCAAATGTGGATGTGTAATGAGAGGAGAACTGAATAAAGAGCTGAGTTAAAACATCTTAAAATTGAATATGGCTTAATGCTGTCATTTATCATCAGTTGTCCTACAATAACATAAATGTTTCTAGCTTATTGTTGGTTTTTCAATAGTTGGATATAGTTGTGAGGCGGAATACACACACACACACACACACACACACACACACACGCACTTGGCTATATAAAATAGACGCTCTGAAGCTGACAGGTAAGAAAATATACTGCTGGCCCAGCGCTGTGTCTCATGCCTGTTGTCCCAGCACTTTGGGAGGCCGAGTTGGGAGAATCGCTTGAGGCCAGGAGTTTGAGACCAGCCTGGGCCTAACATAGTGAGGCTCCATGTCTGAGTTTAAAAGTAAAAATTTAAAAATGATACACCGCTATGTATGACTGTTGATATTTAAAAATCTGAATACTAAACGTGGGGACTCAAATAGTACTTCGAGGGCTTAGCAAAGTTATAAGTCCTAACGCTAGGAATTGTTAGTGATACTCTTACCGCTTTGCTACCAAATGTTGTAAAGCCACATATATATAGTTAAAAAAAAAAAAACTTTTAAAGTAAAATGGTGACCATAAAGTCCCATAAATATGACTTTATTTATTTATTTAGTTTTTGAGACGGAATTTCGCTGGTGTCACCCAGGCTGGAATGCAATGGTGCGATCTCGGCTCACCGCAACCTCCGCCTCCTGGGTTCAGGCAATTCTCCTGCCTCAGCCTCCTGAGTAGCTGGGACTACAGGCACGCGCCACCATACCCAGCTAATTTTTGTATTTTTAGTAGAGACGGGGTTCACCATGTTGACCGGGATGGTCTCGATCTCTTGACCTCGTGATCCACCCGCCTCGGCCTCCCAAAGTGCTGGGATTACAGGCGTGAGCCACCGCGCCCGGCCAGAAATATGTCTTTAAATGGGTTTAATTGTAATGGCTTTAACAAGGTTCGGCTGTCATACTGATCAAAATTAGCCTCTATCCAGCTGGGGTCAGCCAAGGAGCCACTTCTCTGCACCGACGACCTACTGAACGTCAACCTGCGGGAGACGGGACTCCATCTTCGTCTCGGGTAAACTAGTGACACATCCTGTACTGGCAAGGGGCCTAAGTTGGTGACCTCGGTCCCCTAAAACCTGGCCTGCACTCTCGGGCCGCTCCCGCAACGTCTACAGAGGCGGCTGCGGGGTGGAGAGGGGCTGGGGTCGGAAAGCTGGTAACGGCAGGCTCCTGCCCGCCTCGGGGCTGGGGGCCATTCCTGCGTTTTCAGCTGACTTTCCGAACCACGCGTCCCCCAACGGTCTGAGGCGTTCCTCGGCCCGGCACACCGAAGGGTCTGCAACCCTCCTGGGGGGGGCTCCCGGGGGTTTCCGGATGCACCAGGTTTACTGTTTCGGGTCACGGACAGCAGGAACGAAAGGAGGGTTCATCCTTTCTGTCCAGTCGCAAGATGGCGACGGAACCTGGTGGGACTCCGAGGGGCCGCGGGCCACCTCCTCTTCCCGATGGCCCGCGCGCCGGCGGCGACGGCAAGCGGGAGGGGGGCGGAGCAGGCGAGGGAAGGAGGGGCGGAGCGCGGCGCCCTCCCGCGCGTCTTGGCCCCGCCCCACGTCCTCGCGTCCCGGCCTGGAGCCCTCGCCCGGCCGGGCGGCGCGCGCTGCCTGCCGGGATACTCGGCCCGCCCAGCCAGTCCTCCCGTCTTGCGCCGCGGCCGCGAGATCCGTGTTTCTTCCAAGATGGTGGCGCTGGGCTCGGGGTGACTGCAGGAGACGACAGGGCCTTTTCCCTTCGCCCGGTCCCGACACACCACCCTGCGCTCGCTCGCGCACCCCGCCGCCGCGTAGCCATCCGCCAGCCCGGGCGCCCGCCATCCGCCGCCTACTTACGCTTCACCTCTGCCGACCCGGCGCGCTCAGCAGCGGGCGGCGGCGCCTCCTTCGGCTCCTCCTCGCAATAGCTCGCGGCCTGTAGCCCCTGCCCGGAGGGCCCCGCAGACCCCCGGTGTGGGCAGGCAGCGGCGGCTGGCGACGAACGCCGGGATTTCGGCGGCTCCGGCGCCCCCTTTCCCGGCCTTGGTTTCCGAAGAAGGAAGCGCGGGTCCCGCATGAGCCCCGGCGGTGGCGGCAGCGAAAGGGAACGAGGCGGTGGCGGGCGGAGGCGGCGGGCGAGGGCGACGACGACCAGTGAGGCGGCCGCCGCAGCCCCGGCGCGGGGGCGACGACAGGTCAGTGTGGTCGCGGCCTGCGCCAGGCGGCGCTGCCTTCCCCCCGTCCTCAGTCGCCCGGCCGGGCTTCGGGGCCCGCGGTGGCGAGGTCGGCATCCCCGGTTCCCCGCCCCCCACCCCCTCCCCCGCCGCCGCCGAGGCGAGTGTTTGGGGGCGCGTGGTCCGGAGGCGCTGGTGCCAGGAGTAGGCCCCTGGTGGCCGCGGCTGCTGCAGCCGTAACTGTCAGTCGTGGCTGAACGCCGGCAGGAGGGTGTTGTCGCCGGAGGGGACGCGAGCGGGCCCGGGGCGGGGCGGGACGGGACGTGCAGGGCGTCGAGATTTGGGCCTCGTCGAGCCAGCGGGGGCCCCCGGCGGGGAAGGGCAGGCCTTTTCCTTCAAAGGAGAGCCCTTTCTCGGCGTTGTCGAGGTTTCGGGCTGTCTTGGGGAAGACATATTTAGCCGTGTGCCTGGTGGGTTGGGGCTTCGGGGGTGGATTGATGGGGAGGGAGGGCGGATGAGGTGGGGTGTCAAGCCCCGGGGTTGTGTTCGCAGATTACTCGTGGGTTGCCGGCCACCAGGGTTTCTGAAGTTGAACGTGAGTTACTGGCTTTGCCAGAGGCGGCTGTGTTAGATGCAGACCTGCGTGCGAGCAGTTGGCCTTTTTCTTTCCCTTTTTAGTGTGGAAAATGAAAAGGACGCTTTCCTCATCTCGGTGCAAAAGGCTTTTGTTGATAAAGGCAGAGTTGAATGTACCAAATGCCTTAGTCCGTGAAATTTTAAAAATAATTTTAATACATACACTGGTGAAGCTTGACATCCTTGAAAGAGAATCTAGCGTCTGCATTTTTTTAATGACTTCTTAGGAGTTTGCTAAATTATTAACAGTGCAAAATCTGTTTGAGATTATATTTATTCCGTGGCTAGGGTGCTGTTGAAAATGTAAACTAATGGCATTTTACAGTGCATAGGTAGCCCCAGTCATGAAGGAATATGGATATGACCCATAATTTTGGATCGTTTCACTGCCTGCAATATGGAGAGAAACAGCAAATCATTACAGATTTTTTTGGGAGACGACCTAAAGTTTAAGAAATACAACTGTTGAAAGTTACATGTCAGAGACACAAAGGTACCTAATCAGTCTTGCTGAATAAATTGGACAAGTGGGATAAATGTTTGTCTCACATTTCTGACCAACAGGTACTCTTACTTAACAGATAATTTGGTAAGTCATGTAAAATTTAGAAGTTACGAGAGAGAAAGTTTTGTCTTGGTATGTATAGTGGAAATAGCTTTGAAATTTGATCCTGCTTTTAAATCTGAGCTACTTATCACATTTTTAGTTAAATAAATACAGTATTAATGATGCTACTGATAAGCATCATTAATAAGGATGACCAGAAGCCTTTTAAGAAACACTGATAAGCTTGACCACAAAATAAAAAAGGAAATAGCTTCAAGAAATAATTTGCAATCTTAATGTATTTGTAATATACACAGGAGAAATACAAGCAGAGTAGGAAGTAACTCATTTGTATTCACAGAATTAGAATGTGAACTGTGACAGTCTTACTGTGTCAATATTTATTAACCTGCATTAGTGTGCTAAGTAGTATGCCCACCATCCTGTGGACATTGCCCCTGTCCCTGAGGAGCTTAACTTTATACAGAGACACAAAATACTGTGTTTGATTTCCTTTCAGATGATTTATAAGCTACTTATATTTTATCTGTCCTAAATTCTGCCCCTTTTTTCATGGCTGAAAAAATAGCTTTCTAAGAAAGGTAAGTACCAGTCAGAGGTGTGGGAAAACATGTTCTCATTCCACTTGTCCAGTCCATTTAACAGGATATATTGGGTACCTACAGTGTCTTTGTGTTTAATTAGTTGTATTTCTTAAACTTTAGATCATTTCTGTTTCAATCTCCTCCCCTCCAAAAAAATGTACTGTGATAATTGACTGTGTAAACTGTGATAATATACTGTTAGTCAGTGGAATGACCCGGATCTGTAGGTCACAGCTAAATTTTTCATCCTGTGCACTTGAAATGTTTCCAAATGTGTGTTTTCTTAAATGACGGCTAGTTATGTTCTCCAATCATATTGCACATATTTTGTTTAGACCTATAATTGTATAGGTCTAAATGTAGAAACATTACATTAAGTACGTACGCAGCTGCTGAAAGAAAATTAGTTTTTGATTTTTAGATCGGGATGAAGACAAATTTTTAGAAGTGATCTTTCACTTCCAAAGACTTTACTGGGTAAAGTTTTAGGTGCTCATTTCATGTTGGTTCAGGACAAAAGTTTTTTGATTGGTTTGGAATTTTCCCCCTCACTGCCAAGTGTAAGGAGAAAATGTAATAACAAGACATTACGGTATGTATAGTGGTAACATCTTTGAAATTAGAGCCTTCTTTTAATTCTGCCCTTTAATCTTGGTAAGCCACAGTTTTGTCATCTGTAAAATGGGTTGGTGAAACTACCCCAGAGTTGTGAGGCTTAAAGTATGTAAAACGCCTAACACGTAGGTACTCAGTAAGTATTACCTTAGAAATCTTTCATCCAGTTTTTCTGAATGGTCTGGAAGCACCTCATATATAGTGGACCACAGCATGTTATCCTTTATATTGTTTATTTCTTTTCTCATTAGCTATCAGCTCATTCTTTAAGGCCAGGAATTCCTAGTGTTTACCAGAGAATGTGTTACCAGATGTCTTAGTCTGTTCTTACTGCTATTACAAAATAACCACAGACAGGGTGACTTATAAACAACAGAAGTTTATTTCTCACGTTCTGGGGGCAGAGAAGTTAAAGATCAAGGTGCCAACAAATTTGACATCTTTGTGAGGGCCCTCTCCCTTGTTCATAGACAGCTAGCTGTCTTCACCGTAACTTCATGTAGAGGGGGTTCTCTAGGGCCTCTTTTATAGAGGGATTAATTCCATTCATGAGGGCAAAGCCTCCCAAAAGCCCCACCTCTTGATACTATCACCTGGCGGGTTAGGCTTTCAGCATGAATTTTAGGGTACACACTCAGACTACAGCACTGGAGCAGGCTTGAATTAGTTAATGGTTAATCAGTAAATGATCAACTAACATTTATTAGGTACTTACTGTGGCTTCTATGAACTGAGCTAGGTACAGGAGCCACAAAGAGAAGAAAGATGTCTGTCTTTTTGGATGCTTACAGTTGAGTGATTTTTCTCACGTGTGTGTGTGTGTGTGTGTGTGTGTGTGTGTAACCCTATCACATAATGGAACTGCATTCTCCCATGCCCTTCCAATCTAAGAGCAGTTCTATGGACTAAATGCCTTCTACCCACCAGCTACTACTCTAAAGACTTACTCTTCGACTCCTTTTTAAAAGTACAACCCCCTGGCACATGCATTACTTCATGTCTTGGTCGCAGCCCACCATCCTCATATCTGGCATGTAGAGTGTTAGTATTTGTTTGTTTTTGTGTGTATATGTATGTATCTAAAATTTAAAATTTTTGCTCTGGCAGTTGTCTGCAAATACTCTAATTTTGGGGGCACGATTATCATTCTGTCTTCTGGCAATAAATTGATCTATGTTACCTGAGTAGGATTGTTCATGAGATCAGCTGCTCCAGTCATTTTATATATGAGGAAATTGAAGTTCAAAGCTTTAAAGTGATTTTTTTTTTCAAGACAGAGTCTTGCTCTGTCACCCAGGCTAGAGTGCAGTGGTGCCACCTCAGCTCACTGCAGCCTCCGCCTCCTGGTTTCAGGCAATTCTCCTGCCTCAGCCTTCTGAGTAGTTGGGATTACAGGTGCCTGCCACTGCGCCCAGATAATTTTTGTATTTTTAGTAGAGATGGGGTTTCACCTTTTTGGCCAGGCTGGTGTTGAACTCATGACCTCATGATTCACCTGCCCCAGCCTCCCAAAGTGCAGGGATTACAGGTGTGTGCCATGGGGCCCAGCCTAAAATGATTTTCTTAAAGTCATCCAGGTGTAAGGATCAGAACCAGAGTCCAAGTCTCTAATTCAGAACTCTGCACGCTTTGTCACATGTTCTGTCCTACCTTTTGGGATGAATAGTTATGCTTGCCTTTGTGATTACTCACCTACCTTTTTGGAGATATATGAGTGTTTGGTACACTATTAATAGAAGGCAGATTTCACAAAATGCCATCTACAGATCTGTTATTTCTTCTAATAAAGGAAATGATGTAAAATTACCTTAAATAGAAATAATTAGTGTTAATTCTTTTAGAAACATATTTCATAATCCAAACATGAAATATTTGAGATAAACATGCTACATAAATAAGTCCTTTTTAAAAAGATAATATTAAACATTTTTAATTTACAGCGATGAGATCTCCCTTTGTTGCCCAGGCTGGTCTTGAACTCCTAGCCTCCCAAAGTGTTGGGATTACAGGCATGAGCCACAACACCCTTCCAAGTTCTTTTTTTTTCTTTAATGAAATTACTTACTAATGCAGAATTTCTTTGACAACTTTTGTTTTCATTTGCTCTAAAAAACGTTGCTTGTAGTGCTTTGATCTGAATTATCTACAACAAGTAAATGCCATTAAGAATAACAATTCAAAAAGAAGCTTGTTAGCTTGTTAGTTTTTAGGCCTGAGACTGAAATAAAGTTAGCATTTTCTTTTTCTTTGTTTATTCTAATTTTATTTATTTGTTTAGATCAGGGTCTTGCTCTGTTGCCCAAGTTGGAGTGCAGTGGTGCTGTCGTAACTCATTGCAGTCTCAGGCTTAAGTGATCCTCCCATCTCACCCTTCTGAGTGGATGGGATTAGCATATGCCACCATGCCTGGCGATTTTTTTTATTTCTTGTGGAGACAGGGTCTTCTGGCCTCAAGCCTTGGCCTCCCAAAGGGCTAGGATTACAGATGTGAGCTACCACGCCCAGCTGAGCGTTTTTAAAAAATACTGGTCTTTGTACATGAGTTGTTATTATTTGATTCTATGCCTTGTGACTGATATCCCTAAAATTATTTATAAAATTTTAAGTGCGTCAGAGTCATTGAAATGGAGGAAGGAGGAGTGTTTTTTATTTTTTCGGACAGAGTCTCACACTGTCACCCGGGCTGGAGTGCAGTGGCAGGATCTCAGCTCACTGCAACCTTTGCCTCCTGGGTTCAAGTGATTCTCCTGCCTCAGCCCTCCCAAGTAGCTGGGATTACAGGTGCCCACCACCACGCCCAGCTAATTTTTTATATTTTTAGTAGAGAAGGGATTTCACTATGTTGGCCAGGCTGGTCTCAAATTCTTGACCTTGTGATCTGCCCGCCTTGGCCTCCCAAAGTGCTGGGATTACAGGAGTGAGCTACCTCGCCTCCCGGCTGGAAGGAACACTGTCCTTTGGTATCAAAGATTTTGAGCTTGTTTTGACTAGCTTCCTACTGGTTACAAGCAGGTTATTTAGCTTTTGAAGCTTTTGTTCCTTTTGTCAAATGGACGTGATAGTTGCTTTGTCTGTTTTAAAAGCCTATGCTTTTCAAATGTGATAGTCCTTTATGGAGGCCAGGCATGGTGGCTCACACCGGTGATCCCAGCACTTTGGGAGGCCGAGAGGCGGGTGGATCATGAGGTCAGGAGATCCAGACCATCCTGGAAAACATGGTGAAACCCTGCCTCTACTAAAATACTCGGGAGGCTGGGGCAGAGAAATTGCTTGAACCCGGGAGGCGGAGATAGCAGTGAGCTGAGATCACTCCACTGCACTCCTGCCTGATGACAAAACGAGATTCCATGTCAAAAAAAAAAAAAAGAACCTTTTTAGAAGTATTATTTTGAGACATTTTTAGTGTGTGAATTT